CCACCTCAGCCTCCTGAGCAGTTGGCACTAATTTTCTGTAGACACAGGTTTCCCCATGTTGCCCAGGAACTCCTGGAATGTGCTCACCTAGAACTCCCACCACACACCTAGGCCTCCCTAAGTGCTAGTATTACAGGCATGGGCCACTGTGCCTGGCCCATAGAAATTATCTATGCTCCTTGCTTAAAATACACATTCTTTGGTCCCACCAAACTATTCTGATTCAGTAGCTTTTTCCAGGAGACACTCGAGAATTTGCATTTCTAACAAGCTCCCAGGTGTTGCTAATGCTGCTGGTCAGGGGACTCCATTACAGTAGCTATGCTACCTATGTTACTTAATCCTTACAATCTTAAAGGACATGTTTTATTATTCTCGTTTACAGAACAAACTGCTACCCCTAGACGTTAAGTCAGTGGTTATGAATCTCTAGAGGTTATACAAATCACATAGGCAGCTGACTTAAACCACAGATTCCTGAGATTCTTCGTCTGTTAAGTTTGGAATGGGGTTCTGGGATCTGCATTTTAACTAAGACCCAGGTGCTTCTGATGCAGGTGAGCTCAAGAGCCTGTATCAGACTTTGGGTTAAATACTATATCAAGTTCTTAAAGCTGGAAAATGGTAGCCGCAGGCTAAGGATAGCTGTATGAAAGAGAAAATGCAATTTCAAAAAATGCTGAAACTATCTGATGTGCTTATGAAAACGTCAGAGGCTATCAAATCAGGCACTTTCAAATCAGAATGACAAAACAATTGCCAAACTAGTATCCTCATACTAAGTACACAGGACTCTCATAATACTCAATATATGATACAATCTAGGAAAAGAATTATTACTTTACATTTAAAGTTAATATTGGCCGGGTGTGGTGGCTCACACCTGTAATCCCAACACTTTGGGAGGCTGAGGCGGGTGGATCACCTGAGGTCAGGCGTTCAAGACCAGCCAGGCCAACATGATGAAACTCCGTTTCCACTAAAAAATACGAAAATGAGCCGAGCGTGGTGGCATGCGCCTGTGTTTAAGATTGTAAGGATTAAGTAACATAGGTAACATAGCTACTGTACTCGGGAGGATGAGGCACAAGAACCGCTTGAACCCAGGAGAAAGAGGTTGCAGTGAGCTGAGATCGTGCCACTGCACTCCAGCCTGGGCCACAGAGCAAGACTCTGTCTCAAAAATAAGTAACAATAATAATAATAATAATAACAATAATAAAGTTGGCTGGGGGCACTGGCTTTCGCCTGTAATCCCAGCACTTTGCGGGGCTGAGGCAGGCAGATCACCTGAGGTCGGGAGTTCGAGACCCATCTGACCAACATGGAGAAACCCCCATCGCCACTAAAAATACAAAATTAGCCAGGTGTGGTGGCGCATGCCTGTAGTCCCATTTATA